GAACTGCATTAAAAACAGGCATGATTCTGTGATGAATACCACTATAAGGAACACTGCTAAAAATGACTGTCTGTGAACACAGTTCACCCTGCCATCCAAAAATGCATCTATCATGCAAAGAAGAAGCCATATCTTAACGTGATCCAGAAACACTGCCGTCTTCTCTGGGCCAAAGCTTAAAATGGTCTGTTACAAAGTGGAAAACCTTTCTGTGGTCAGATGAGTCGAAATTTGACATTATTTTTGGCAATTGTGGGAGCCGCTTCCCCTACATTAAAGAGCAGAGTTACTTCTGGCTTGTTATCAGTGCTCAGTTCAAAGACCTGCATCACTGTTGTTATGGGGGTGCATTAGTGCGTATGGAATAGGTAGCTTGCACATCTGGAAAGACCCCATCAATGCTGAAAAAAATATATCCAGGTTTTAGACCAACATATGCCCCCATACAGATGATGACTTTTTCTGAGAAGGCCTTGCAAATTTCAGCAGGACAATGCTAAACCATATACTGTATCTCAGACAACAGCATGGCTTTGTAGTAGAGGAGTCCAGGTGCTTAACTGGCCTGCCTGCAGTCCAGACCTTTCACCTATTAAAACTATTTGGTGCATCTTGAAATGAAAAATACAACAAAGAAGACCTAGGATTGTTGAGCAATTGGAATCCTATATGAACTGGTTTCTTCAGTTCCCAGATGTTTGCAGTGTTGTTAAAAGAAGAGGGAATGCTACACTGTTCCAACGCTTTCCAACTTTTTTTGGAGACATGTTGCTACCATCAAATTCAAAATTGCCTTTTTTTTTTTCTTTTTTTTTTTTTATGGTACATATTCTTCGTTTAAACACTCCATTGTGAGGGCAGGCCCTCATTTTATAGAACAGATAGAGCAAATGTATGGAGTCTTTTGTTTTAGCAGTGACCACTTGGTACAAGTCTCAAAAAACTTGTGTCTGTCATGGGACTGATGTCTGCACAAATGCTTAGAACACTGATTTGCTCATGTGGGAAACGAATGAGACATCCACGGAACATCTGAGGTGCTCACTCTTCAAAGAATGTTGTCACTTAGAACCTGCTCTTGACACTATCATTAGGAGTGCCACCAAGGCTGGAATGTGTTGCTGCCTTAATGCCGAAGATCTGTAGAAGGGACAGCTGAAACTTACTCCACTATGGGTAAGCCTTCAGAGCCTAACTTCTGTTTAGATCATATGGCCCTGAAACCAGAGGTCTGATAACTCCTCTGAAAGGTCTTTTTAATGAAAGTGCACCCCCCTATATATATATATATATATATATATATATATATATATATATATATATATATAATGGAGGGTTTTACGCACATCTGAACAGGTTTTTGATTAGTTTGCGACCCTGGCATTTGGATGGTCAAAACACCCCCTTTAACTTGCTGGCTAAACACTTGCATGTGGTGTCTTCTTCAACTGCCCCCCCCCTTTTGTTCCTGTGTAAGTGGGAACTTGGGATTGGGTATATTGCACTCCCTTGTTTAGGAAAATGGTACATCCTCGTATTCTATTAAAACCCCTTGTAGTGGGTGGTACCCCTCAGCATTCCCCTTCTCTTGAGAGTCAGGGTCACCTGGTAATCAGAACTCTTCTTAAGGGCATACCACATGCAAGCTTTGACCCAGTGGGGCATTGCAGGTGTCTAGTATTGGCAACTATCAGTCACCAATGGGTGAAGCTGCCCTTCCTAAATCCTTCCCAAATAAATCTATACCCTTTTCAGTAAGTAGACCTTTCCTTAGCTGTTATGGACTTTCACCCTTTTTCCTTTTTAGGGGATTTTGGGGTATTGTGGGATCATCCACCTAATTTTTGTCTTGCCTATTCTCGTTGACTGTTTTGACTTCTTCAGCCTTTGTAATGTCCTCCTGAATCAAGAAGTTCTTCTTTCAGGCTTTCCGCTGAAAATGAAACCTGATTGAGGAGACAGAATCTGGGGCATAACAACCAACTGGCTTCTATCTTCAGTTTGTTCAGTTAGCTTTAAAAATGAAAGATAGAAGCTGATTGGTTTTCGTGCACAGCTGCTCCAGATTCTGTCTGTTAGGGTAAATTTCCCTCACTGTCTGTGTTTGGGGCCACGCACCCGCTCCTACACCCTTGTCAAATTCAGCTGTGCAGGTGAGTCTGTCCAGCCTCTGCATCTGCTTTCACTTTCATAGGTTGCCTGCATGCAGCTCCAGGTGCATTAAAAAATGTTTTATTTATGCTTCAGGCCTCTGTGCCTGTATGAATGAGGCCTATAGATTCTCATTAGATGGTAAAATAGTTTTTACTTCTACTTTTTCAGGTTTTATTTTAACAACTTCTGTACAACTTACTATGTTGTATCAATTTTTGTTTACGTTTTACAAAACCGTAATGCTTAAAGTGGTTGTAAACCTCAGAAGTATGAACAAAGCATATCCTAGCCCAGGTTGGCAACCCATGGACCCCAATCTACCAGTCGATTGCAGCCAGATGACTGGCAAATTGCCTGGGTTTGCCGACCTGCAGTCACATACCATGGATGAAGGTGCAAAAGGACCTGCAGTCGCATACCATGGATGAAGGTGCAGAGAAACTACTTTCAAGTGTGTAGCACCAGCCACAGAGGTAGCAGTTTTGCAGAAGCATTAGCCGCATAAGCTGATGCTTTGCCTAAAGTTCTAGCAGGAATGTAAGGTGGAGTGATACTAACAGCACTCCGCCCCTAGCCGTCGGATCCACAGCATGTAGCAGCGATGCAAGGTCAGTGTCACTGGACACAAGTTCATTGGACACAATAGCATTTTTTTGGGCACGTTAGCAGTTATATGGGCACAAAACCTTTTTGTGCTATTGTGCAAATGTATATGCATGATAGCATCTATATGGGTACAATAGCAGATGTATGGGCAGAACAGAACAGAAAGCTGCGGGTGCTAAAGCGCAGCTAACCTACAGGAAAGCTGCAGGTATGCTGTGCTGCACATGCAGCGCAGTGGTGAGAAAGCTGCCCAATAGTTGTTAAGCCTGTAATGGATGCTGTTGTGCCCATATAGATGCACAATAGCAGCTGTATGGGCACAACAGCATCTACGAGGGCAGAATAGCAGGTGCAGCACAGTTTACCAGCATCTTTCCTGCAGGTTAGCTGCACTTTAATAATAATAGACTTCTATTATATCCTGCAGGGCTAGTGCACTTCTAAAAGCACACCAAAGCTCCTGAACACAGAAAGTTTTGTGTGATTTCAGGAAGCGCACCAAATCCAGAGGATATCATAGAAGTCTAAGGCAAAGAGCAGCTAGCTCGCAGGAAAGCCACAGGTGCATCTTTGTGGGGCTAGGGGGCTCAGGACAGTAAGGGCTGTTTTTACATTTGTGATTTGGGGGCTGTAAAACTCCATAGTTGAGCCATGTTTTTACCACCACTCAATCTACCCATCCACACCCCCTTTAGTTGAAGTGGCCAGGTGTGTACACATGTTGCAGGCACAGCATGAGTGATACACCCTGTCGTGCTTTTAGGACCATGTGCCCAGTGATTTTTGATTTCTCCCATGTTGCTAAGGTAGATCTCCACCTCTGTGTTTGCCCTACCCCTGTTCTATGGTGTGGACGTGGCTCAGTCCATAGCACAAAGTGTCATTTCTGTCTGCTGCCTTGTTCCTCTATCTGCATGAGTCACTTCTGACAAGTTTTCCTGAAACCAAGAGAAAATAAAGTGACGGGATGCATCTCCAGCACGCATCCTGTGATTAACAGCCTCAGTTCTGTTCCTGTGTGAAGGTGGGTGTGTCCCTTTCCTCCCGTCAACTCCTCACTGAGCTCTACAGACTTCAAAGCCCTACCGCCAGCGGAATGCGACTCGTTTCGGTGAATAAGGTCACACTGCAATATGTACATAAACTGACATATACACACGTAGCCTGTTTAAAAAAATAAAAATAATAAAAATGCAATACCATACCTACACCTGCACTGCTGGGTACTGCACTTTACAGTAATGCACTGAAGGGGAAGCATGTCCGTACTCCTGAAGACGCCTCCTCCTTCCACTTTTTTTCACTCGCTGTCCTGATCTTGTTTTTGCTTGTGCTGATGTATTGTTTGGCAGAGCAGTGAAAGCTTGATCACAACCTTTCTCAACCAGAATTTCGTGGCACCCCTAGCAAACTAAAATGGCATCCCAGTTGAGAGAGGCTGGCTTAAACAAGTGATTTTCTTAAATGTTTAAGCTATTGAACAAATAATGCATACTGTGCAAATGTAAATAATATAGTTTCCTTGCCTTATATGTAGTAGGATTTGGCACAGTAGCTGAGTGACCATGTGGTTCTCCTCATTAGCACCAGCTGATGAGGGGAACCATCCAGATGAGCAGTGACAACTTATTTTTCTCTGTTACTGATTCAAAGTATAGTTGATGGTTTTAGAGGTGCTTTACTTTTTTCATTTTCTTTGGAGTTGGTAATATGATTGCAACCGATGGGGAGTGGCGGGACTGGATGTGGGATGGAGCCCATTAACCTCCCTAGCGGTATGATTATTTCAGATTTTTGGTGCTGAAAGCGGTACCATTTTTTTTGCATGGAAATATGTATTTTTTTTTTTTTTTATTGTAGGCCTGTAATTTAGGAATAACTCATTGAAATCTGTCCGAACAAGAGTCTAGTAAACATTCCGGATATGATAAAGTTGAAACACAAAATCATAAATTATAATTTAATAAATAATCCTAAAAAATAATATAATAATAAATTTAATTAAGTAATATAATCAAACCAAAAACACTGAAATTTGAAATATAGCGCCAAGTTCGCACATTGCTGAGCAAAGTTGCAGAATCGTTTTCAGTGTCTGATGACGAATTTCCCCGCGAATCATTATCACTCAATTCTGCAAGTGGTCCTGATATACTATGGCTGTTCTCTAGCCGGTCTAAAACCGCTTTTGACATAAAGGGATGCTTTTTGGACGCCATGGACTTTTCTAAGTTTCCAGGCAGAAAGAACAGTCAAAATGCAGGCAGGGGACAGGACAAAGCAGTAGGGACAAAATGTATGTGAAATGTTTTGAAACAGCAATGTTTTACTATGTATTAATCATTTTTAAAAAAATGAAAATTTTTTTAAAATTTCAAATTTGCCGCCGGTTCCGGCGCCCGTACGTCCCGACGTCACAGGGACCGGAACACGGAAGCCGGATGCCGGCATCGGCCGGAGGAGATGGCCGGGGACGCTGCAGGGGACGCATCGCGGGAGCGAAGGACAAGGTAAGCGCTGCAGGGACTCCCTATGCAACGCTGCATGGTAAGCCCGAGTGTAGCTCAGGGTTACCGATTTTGGTACTGAAACTTTACCCCGAGCTACACTCGGGAATAACGCTAGGGAGGTTAATCTTCATCTCCAAAGCAATTCCTCTAACGATACAGAATATTAATTGTTTCCATAGCAGTCAAATTGAGGTTTCCAATGAATTTGCCATATGCTCCTAGCTACCTGCATACAATACAGTGACTGCATTATTTGACTGTGTATATGCCTTGGGTATTAATTTACCGCCACATAATTATCTGTTGAAATTGTGTTAACAAGCAAGTGTATCTCAAGTGGCCATTGAGTGTATTTGACTGCATCACTGGGTTGGTTGTACTTAGTAGAGGATGTATAATTTTTTTTCCCCAAAAGGAAGAGACCACATTAACAACCAATAAAGCTGGTCATAAAGTAATCATGATGGATTTTTTTTTTTTAATTTTCAGCCAGTGGGTTGAACAAAAAAAAAAATATGAATGGATTCCCCCATCCACACAAGGGAGATGGATAGAAAAATCTTCACCATTGTATTTCAACAGCAGTACTCAGAATACACTGATCCTGTTGGCTGCAGTTGCTGGTTGGCCTTCCCATTCAACAGAAGTCAGTTGTTAGATCGGTTTCTGTTAAGTGGGAACAGCAATAGGTGGATCAAAATTTAGGCCAATTCCTTCTTAATCAGCTGAATTTGGTATTTGTGCTTTTTTTTAAATAAAAATTGTTTGCAATTCAAGGTATTTCGGATTTCACTTGTAATCAAGGCATCAAACTTACTGTACTCTGAAGCACTATATTAGGGTTTTTTTCAGTCAATTAAATCAATTTGTTGAATTAAACAATTTCTAAAACTAATTTTTTTGTTTGATAGCTTAGGGAAGGGTTAGGACCCATCATATTTTTTTGCCATCTGTTCCCTATTAGGCATTTTTTTCCCTTGATGTCCTGTAGGCACAAAAGGGTAAATGTTTAGTTGTAACTGGATTAGGTATCCCCTCTATTCCTCTACTGTTGACAACTCAGAATCTGGGATTTTCTGTGTCCTTGTAGTGATTTCACTTGTGGGAATGCATACGGCAATAAAAAACTGTTGAGGTTGCTAAGACTTCACTGCTTTATCTAAAACTAAAACAGTGGTGCGGTTGCACCCTTGTTTGTTCCAAAAAACCTATGAATATAGAAATAAAAAACACTTTTTGATTTTAGATAAATTTTAATAATTTTCATTAAGAGGTATAGAGGGGCACATGTATTGCTAATTGTACATCATATTGTATGTTTCGCTATATTGCCATGGCATTCATATTATGGTTTTATTTTTTTGCATGGCTTATTTTCTTTAATCTTCTGTATTTTCACCATCTAGCCACTGCAGAGGATAGACAATGAGTTAGAGCTTCGAGGGGACCAACATCACATGGGCAATTTCCCATTCCACCACTCTCACCCTGTGCCTGCAATACCCCATTCAGCGCCCATGCATTACCTCTCCCATGATGCACTGCACCAGGAGCTATCCTTTCCAGTGGTAAGTGCACAGTCAGACACGTCTCCAGTTAAGAGCTGGGTGATTATTACAGGTTAGAAATAACTACATTTTTAAAGAAAGTTGACATGTACATAGTATCCTCTTTAGGGTTTTGTTTTTTTTTTTTTTTTTAAAGTTACCTTGTTTTGCTGATAACATTAGGTGATTTTGTTTGTGAAGTCTAATTGTGTTTTACTTATGCAAATTTGCAGCCATATGCCCATTTGATGCCACGGCGAATAAATGCCCAACGATATCGTCTGCAGCAACCACTGCCGCCTCCTGCACTGCCACCTTCATATTATCCCAGCTTTCTCCCCTACTTTCTGTGAGTATTTCTTGCTATGAATTGTGAAATTGCTAGTTTTCTTCAGATGTCTTTTCATTAATTCATTTGTCCCAGTGATAGGAGTGCCATTATACTTAAAATTTAAGGGTTTTTTTCGTCCTTTTGTAGTAAAAAAAAAAAAAAACAAATTTTAGTGCTGTGTTTGAATCATCCTATTCACATGCTTCTTACAGTTCCATGCTTCCTGTATCTCCCACTTCTGTTGGCCCAGCAATCAGTTTGGATTTGGATGTGGACGATGTGGAAATGGAGAACTATGAGGTTGGTTTAGCTCTGAATTCCTTCTATAATCTTTTCGTAGTTTTCCTGCAGGGAGACAGCATTAAGCATTTTGATAGATACAATTCAGTTTCGTGGTGTAAAAAAAAAATATTTTGAGTTGCATGTAAACATACCATCATTTAATGGTCTTCAGTCAGTTGAATACCTTTATTAAATGTCTGTTCCATAGCTTCTAAAGCTTATCCAACCTTGCACAACTCTGCTGTTTTTTACATTCTGCCATCATTCTCCTGGACAGAATATAAGTTACTATATTGTTAGACGTGCCTGCTGTTATCCTTTTTAAATTTGTGACATCTGTTGGTGACATTATCCGATTTCCTTAATAATCTAAAAATAGACTGTTGAACTCACGCTCACTGCACCACATTCCAGCAAATTTTGGTTACTTGGCAGGAATTTCTGATAACTATCCAGCTCTCTGTAATTGCCAGGCCTATAAGTGTGCTCAGAGCTGTATTGCTTGGGTTACACTTCACACTTGAGTTTGTGGCATTGAAGCTCAGTGGTCTAAACACTATCTGCTCTATTTTTTTTGTGCCTTATCCCAATGAGCAGCTGCCAGCAAAGTGTGGGATGTTAATCTGCATTCAACTCTTTATCAATGAGAACGTTTACTTTCTAATTTAATTAATTTGATTTTTCCTTTTAGGCACTGCTTAACTTAGCTGAACGCTTAGGAGAAGCAAAACCCCGTGGACTCACCAAAGCCAACATTGAGCAGCTTCCATCATACCGCTTCAACCTTGAGAGCCATCAGTCTGAGCAGACATTGTGAGTGATGAAGGGAAATGTCTCTACCTCCCATTATATGTTCACATTCCCGTGATCCTAAGCAGTTTTATAAACCTCTGTTTTATAAAAGAACACACGTCTTTTTAACCCCTTCACGCCTAAGGGTAAACAAATCTTAAAGCCCAAGTAAAATTTTACAACTTTGACATGCGTTAGTAAAACCGTACATGTCACAACTACGTTGTACATCCAGGTGACTTTATACCTTGTTTTTTTTCAGGACACATTGGGCTTTCATTTAGTGGTAAATGGTAATGGAAATCTCATGATTTTTTTTTTTTATTATTATTATCAAAGGAAAACTGGCCCAAAATAGTAAGAAAAAAAATGTATTTTTAAATTTCGCTGTGTGTTTCTTGTTACTACCATGACCTACCACCAAAGAACAACCCAAAATACATTTTCCAGCTCTTGACAATCGCAGTGATCATATATGTGTATGTTATTTGTTTGTACCTGTACTACTGCCCAGAAACAATAGTGTGCATTTTGTTTTTACCTAACATACAGACACTAACTGACACTGATACCAATTTAAAAAAAAAAAAAAAAAAAAAAACCCTGACCTTGACCCAAACACTAACCCTGGCACTGAACTAGATCAAACCTTGATCTAGGTATTTTTTTTCTTTATTTTTTATTTTTAAATATTTATCTTTTTGTGAAAAAAAGTTTTTGGGGGGGGGGTTTTCTCTCTGCAAGGAGAGAAAAAAAAATCAAGGGGGGCGGGCTTCACAGTGACTATTCATTGTGATAGCCAATCAGAGGCTTTCACAGAGATCACGTGATCCGGAATTGGGGGTCCCGATCATTAGAACGGGACCCGGGGCTCTCAGTGACACCCCAGCCTTTGTGCTGGGAGCATGCTCCCAGCACAAAGCCAGGTACGCAAATATGCGGCCCCACGGAAAAAAGCCCAGTTCTGTGAGGCCGCATATTTGTGTGACTTTAGCATGAAATGTATAGTGTATGCTGTGAAATTAATAGGTGAATAACTAAAGCAACACAAGCTTTCATTCACTTGTGTGGACCCACACACACATGCAGTCCTATAGAACTTTCTAAAGAAAAAACAGCAATGTAATTTTATTTATCTATCCACTCTACTAAAGAATTAATAATTGCGGGCTTTGGCAGTAAATGGCTGTGATGGCTGATATGTGGTTCAGTGATGCTTCCAATGGTGTTCCTTCTACAGAAGCCACTAGCCATCACTAACTATGTGGGCAAAGGCATACCATAGCTTGTAAAACAATTGAAAAAATTACAGTATAACCAGTTCCTTACATACATGTACACTTTTGTAGGGAAGAGGTTATCCCAGAATCATGGTCAAGGCTACAACTATGATCCCAGTATCGTTGTTTAGCCCCAGCGGTGGTTTTTCACATAAATGTATTCCGAGCAGCTAAGCAGACATTGGATTACTTTTACAGGTGGCGAGACTGGGTAACCCTCCTGCCATCGTCCTCCCTTTACTGGGCTCTCCCAAGCTATTGGGGAGCCCGCTAAGAATGTGACCAATGGCATCTGGCTACCTGCACACAGTGAGAGGAACTGAAGTTGTTCCTCCCACTGTGTGATGTCAAAAGCAGGAAGTGACGACTATTTAGTCACTTTGGTTCCGACTCTTTGTTCACTGGCTGATTACCGATCTGTCTATTAGACACCCCATCTCTCCATAAAGAGTACCTGTCACTGCCTATTGCTGTTACAGGAGATGTTTACATTCCTTGTGACAGTAATAAAAGTAATTTTTTAAAAAATGGAAAGAGGCAGTGTAAAAAATTAAAGCATCCCCATGCTCACGTGCAAGTGAGCGCATGCATCAGTCCTGCGTGCATATGTCAACAGCACCGCACATGTGAGTTATCTCCATGAACGTCAGAGCAAGAGCAATAATTCTAGCACCAGACCTGTCCAAGAGGCAAGTGGTTAATTCGTGCACTTCAAATACTTCCACAATTTTGCATGACATTTCCAAAGAAAAGGTTAAAGCGGAGTTCCACCTGGAAAAAAAAAAAGTCAGCAGCTACAAAAACTGTAGCTGCTGACTTTTAAGATACAATTACCTGTCCCTTGGTCCAGCAGTGTCCTCACCACCGCTGGTTTCACTGGCCGTCTTCTCTCCCTGGCGCCAGCATCTTCAGTGTGGGCGCCCGGCTGTGACAGCTTGCGGATTCACAGCCGGGTGCCCCACTGCAACATGAGTGAGAAATGCTGCGCTTTGTGAATGGCCCCGTAGTCTTCTGGGACCTGTCACGTGTTTCAGAATACTACGGGGAGGGAGGGGTGACAACTTCCGCTTCCGATCTGGATAACCGTGTGTACTCTCCAGCGTTCCAGGAAATAAATTGCCAACGGGAGGCCAAGGGAACCAGGACAGGAGTGGCTTAAAGATAATGCTTCAGGGATAAGCACTACTCAGATGGGGTAAATCAACCACTGGGAAAAGAGCAGACAGGTTGCGCAAACAGTGCATTATCGAAGATTTATTCAAAGGTATAAAAGACAAAAACATACTCACAGACATAGCTTGTATAAAGAGCTATGCATAATGGAGATGGCCGCAACAACAGGCAAGGTGTTCTGACTGTCAGTGTGGTCAGGTGGCTGATGCGTTTCAGGGATGAATCCCTTTCCTCAAACGCATCAGCCACCTGACCACACTGACAGTCAGAATACCTTGTCCGTTGTTGCGGCCATCTCCATTATGCAAAGCTTTTTGTAATGTTTTAAAACCTATTGGGATATGCTGAAAATAACTGTTGCTTTTAGAAATACAACCTTTTTGTGTGTTTGTTTTGGGGTTGTTGTTTTTTCTGGTAAAGCATGCCCACAATCCCCTAATCATGAATACATTATATTGATTTTGAGTTCTTTTATAAGTAAATCTGTTGATCTCTTACAGGTGCGTGGTGTGCTTTAGTGACTTTGAAAGTCGGCAGCTTCTTAGAGTGTTACCTTGTAATCATGAGTTCCATGCAAAGTGTGTTGATAAGTGGCTCAAGGTATGTATGTATGTTGCTGTACACTTTTTTTTTTCATATCAAGTATGTAATTTAGCCAGACAATACCAGAAAAAGGGTAAAGCAGCTCCAGCCACTTCCTGTTTGTGCAGATCAGCTGTGTGGTAACACCATTTTGCTTCTGTGTGCAGGGAAATCATCAAGCTAGTCAAGCCAAGTGTCACAGATCAGAGTACAGTTGAAACTCGAAAAATCAGAATATCGTGCAAAAGTTCATTTATTTCAGTAATGCAACCTAAAAGGTGAAACTAATATATGAGACTCATTACATGCAAAGCAAGATAGTTCAAGCTGTGATTTGTCATAATTGTGATGATTATGGCTTACAGCTCATGAAAACCCCAAATCCACAATCTCAGAAAATTAGAATATTACATGCAATCAATAAAACAAGGATTGTACATAGAACAGTATCGGACCTCTGAAAAGTATAAGCATGCATATGTACTCAGTACTTGGTTTGGGCCCCTTTTGCAGCAATTACTGCCTCAATGCGGCGTGGCATGGAAGCTATCAGCCTTTGGCACTGCTGAGGTGTTATGGAAGACCAAGATGCTTCAGTAGCGGCCTTCAGCTCTTCTGCATTGTTCGGTCTCATGTCTCTCATCTTTCTCTTGGCAATGCCCCATAGATTCTCTATGGCAGCGGTTCTCAACCTGGGGGTCGCGACCCCTTTGGGGGGGTCGAACGACCATTTCCCAGGGGTCGCCTAAGACCATCGGAAAACACATATTTCCGATGGTCTTAGGAACCGAGACACCGCTCCTGTCTCCGGCGATGTGTGGGTGGGATGATATGCTGCCCCTGTCACCGCCTCCTTGCCGCTGATTGGCCACCGGAACTGTAGCTCAGGAGAGGCACACAGGCGGCCAATCACCGGCGAGGAGGTGGAGCTTGGAGAGGAGGAGCCGAGCGGCAGCGCGCGGAGATCGAAGAAGATCGAGGGAGCTGCAGGAGCGAGTGAAGAGAGAGGCCAGAGAAGGAAGACAGCTGACAGGTAAGTGCAAATTTTGCTGCTGCAGCCAGGTATGCAGGCTGTAGATGGGAGAGGGAGAGAGCTAGCCCAGGCTGGAGCAGGGGTCAGCAAGGTAAGTATCATTGGTGTCAGTGGGAGGGATAGTGCCCCATCATTTGTGTCACTAATACCAACGATGGGGCACTATTCCTCCCCCCACTGACGCCAACGATGGGGCACTATTCCTCCCCCCACTGACGCCAACGATGGGGCACTATTCCTCCCCCCACTGACGCCAACGATGGGGCACTATTCCTCCCCCCACTGACGCCAACGATGGGGCACTATTCCTCCCCCCACTGACGCCAACGATGGGGCACTATTCCTCCCCCCACTGACGCCAACGATGGGGCACTATTCCTCCCCCCACTGACGCCAACGATGGGGCACTATTCCTCCCCCCCACTGACGCCAACGATGGGGCACTATTCCTCCCCCCACTGACGCCAACGATGGGGCACTATTCCTCCCCCCACTGACGCCAACGATGGGGCACTATTCCTCCCCCCACTGACGCCAACGATGGGGCACTATTCCTCCCCCCACTGACGCCAACGATGGGGCACTATTCCTCCCCCCACTGACGCCAACGATGGGACACTATTCCTCCTCCCACTGACGCCAACGTTAAGGGGTCGCGGCATTAGGTTGAGAACCACTGCTCTATGGGGTTCTATGGGGTTCAGGTCAGGTGAGTTTGCTGGCCAATCAAGCACAGTAACAGTCATTGAACTAGGTTTTGGTGCTTTTGGCAGTGTGGGCAGGTGCCAAGTCCTGCTGGAAAATGAAGTCAGCATCCCCATAAAGATAGTAGACAGCTGTGTTGACCCTGGACTTAATGAAGCACAGTGGACCAACACCAGCAGATGACATGGCTCCCCAAATCAACACAGACTGTGTAAACTTCACACTGGATTTCAAGCATCTTGCAGTGTGTGCCTCTCCATTCTTCCTCCATACTCTGGGTCCTTGGTTTCCAAATGAGATGCAAAAGTTGCTCTCATCAGAAAAGAGGACTTTGGACCACTGAGCAACAGACCAGGTCTGTTTTTCTTTAGCCCAGGTAAGACGCTTCTGACATTGTTTGTTGTTCAGGAGCGGCTTGACAAGAGAAATACAACATTTGAAGCCCATGTCCAGGATCTGTCTGTGTGTGGCGGCTCTTGATGCACTGACTCCAGCCTCAGTTTCACTCTTTGTGAAAGTCCCCAACACTTTTGAATGGCCTTTTCCTGACAATCCTCTCCAGGCTGTGGTCATACCTGCTGCTTGTGCACCTTTTTCTTCCACACTTTTCCCTTCCACGTAACTCTCTATTAATGCGCTTTGATACAGCACTTTGGGAACATCCATCTTCTTTTGCAATTACCTTTTTGAGGCTTTCTCTCCTTATGGAGGGTGTCAGTGATGGTTTTCTGCACAACTGTCAGGTCAGCAGTCTTTCCCATGATTGTGATTCCTACTGGATCAGACTGAGAGACCATTTAAAGGCTCAGGAACCCTTTGCAAGTGTTATGGCTTAATTTGCTGATTGGAGTGGGACACTTTGAGCCTAGAATATTGCACCTTTTCACAATATTCTAATTTTCTGAGATTGTGGTTTACAGCTCATGAAAACCCCAAATCCACAATCATCACAATTATGACAAATCACGAATTGAACCATCTTGCTTTCTATCTCATATATTTAGTTTCACCTTTTAAATTGCATTACTGAAATAAATTTAACTTTTGCACGATATTCTAATTTTTTGAGTTTCACCTGTATATGGATCCATCTTGAGAATTCACAACAATTTCAGCTGTCACACCACAACCTAACCTCGTCTCAAAGTAGATCATTTCCTCTACATCGCTTCCACTTTATGCACTTCCCACTAGAAAAGTGTCATCTTTATGAGCTTTTTATCAAGCATTCTTGAAGCTTTTTCAATGCTTCAAAAACACATCATGAATGCAATACAGTAATTCCTCAGTTTACGAATTTAATTTGTTCTGCAGAACTTTTCTTATAGCGCAAAATTCTTAAACCGAAACACCATTTCCCATAGGATTGCATTGGAAATCAATGAACCCCTTCCGGAGGTCAGAAAAAAGTAAAGGCTGTTAAAATACCGCGTGAGTTATTTTATTAAGTCATGCGGTATTTTAGTAGTGACAACCATGTGTTAATGTTTCAGCTGTCAGCGGGGTTCCCCATTGACAGCTGAATGTAAAAGAATTGCTGGCAATTATTTAAAAAACGATGTGGGGTTCACCCTCCTATCCATACCAAGTCCTTCGGGTCTGGTATGGATTTTTAGGGCTACTCATTCACAAAAAACAAAAAGTGTAGTGTGAAAAAAGATAGGACACGGTCTATGACAAGTCCTTTATTAAAAGAAAAAACTAAGAGAATGTTCCCCGCAGTAGATCCAACGTCAGTCACGATGCCCACCGCCAACAAAAAAAAAAAAGGGGGAAAAAAAAGGTCCCATTCCCGAAGATGGCTGCCAGCCCTCTGCCTCTGAGCTGGCTTAAGAGTTCTTAAAGATATAAGGGGCGGGGCTACCCGGGGACATCACCCAAGTGACCCTGCCCCATGTGACATCATTGTTGTCACTTGGGGTGGGGTCACATGCTTGATGTTCCCGGGTGGTCCCGCCCCTTACATATTTAAGAACTGTCAAACCATCGGATCAGGCAGAGGGCTGGCAGCCGTCGTCAAGAGCGGAGCCTTTTTTTTCTTTTCTTTTTTCGGGTTGGCCGTGGGCATCGTGATTGATGGTGGATCTACTGCGGGGGACATTCTTTTGTTTTTTTTTTCTTTTAATAAAGGACTTGTCAAAGACCGTGTCCTGTTTTTTTTCACACAACACTTTGTTTTTTTTGTGGATGAGTAACCCATACTCATTCATATGGAGGGGGGGTGGCCAGGAACTGGGGGCCCCCTTGTCTAAGGGGGCTTCCAGATTCCGACATGGGGACAAGGTGCTTTGGGGGGGGGAGCCCCCTCTGCCCCAAAGCACCCCTCCATGTTGAGGGCATGTGGCCTGGTGTGGTTCCGGGGGGGGGGGGAGGGGGGGTCACTTGCTCGTTCCCTGTCACATCCCCACGCCATTTTTTTTTTTTTTTTTTTTTTTTTTTTTTTTTTTTTTTTTAATTTTGGATTGGGAGTTCCCCTCAAAATCCATACCAGACCCGAAGGGCTTGGTATGGATAGGAGGGAGGACCCCACGCCTTTTTTTATTTATTATGGTGCTGGTTTTTAAATGTAATTACCGCTTTTTTTTTCTTCACTATAGCTCAGAAATTCAGCTGTCACTTTCCCCCAGCTAAAAGAGTTTTCTTTTAGTTTTTCCCCAAGTTAAAATAAACAATGTTTCCTTTTAGTTTCTTAAAATAAAACAAAGTTTTCTGTAACTCCAGGGAAAGTGACAGCTAATCTTGTGAGCTATAGTGAAGGAAAAAAAAAAAAAAGCTGTCAATTGAATTTAAAAATCAGCACCGACATACACTTCGTATTGTGAAAAAAATTCATAAACCGAGGCATTATTTTCAATGGATTTTCATTCGTAAACCAAAAATTACGTTAACCGAGGCATTTGTATACCGAGGTACCACTGTAGGTACGTCAATGAATATAAGGAGGTTAGGTTGAATGAGAATTTAAAGTCTCTATCACTGGTATTCCCATGTAGAGGGTGAAATATCTAGAGATGTCAGATAAGTTTTTGCACTACAGTGTTTTGTTTTTTTTTTGATAGAACTGCTTCTTTTAAATGCCAGTTTTTGTCAGTGATTGAATCCCCTTCCCACTAATACTTGAGTGAAAGCATGGAGCCTTTTTTTTAAACACAATGTGGCAGGACTTCAAATTACACTAAAATGTTCAGAATTAATGAGAGGAAGTCTTAGAGTCTAGCAGACTGGCCTCCCCAAAACTTTCTGACTACCTCACACACCTATATATCCTGCATAGATCCTACTTGACTCCTACCCAGTTGGTCAAGCATAGGCCTCGATATGACCCATCTTGTCCCAAATGTGGGGATCCTAGTGGATCTTTCTACCACCTAATTTGGTCCTGCCCGGATATTCAAGGTTATTGGTC